GAATTGAATAACGTGTAACAAACAAATTTTTCGTGCAACATTTTTCCTATATAACATAAATTGAAAAGCGAAGATTGCATTATTTAAAGAACAACTTCATCATCACCAAATTCTAGTGATCGATTTATTGTGATTCAACAATAAAAGAAATTCTTTAAAGATTTAAAAATGACAAAAATAGAAAACCTTTCTTATGTGCTGCCAATATTGATCAAAACTATGTTGCTTCAAATTCAGATACTCGAGCACATTATTAATATTATTGCGTATTATTATTACACGTAGTTCTGTAGTTAACTTCAAAGTCAAAAATTCGAAAAAACATCAATTTAACACAACTCATATGTATGTAAAGATAATTTGATTTTTTACATTTTATGAAATGTAATAATAAAAAAGAATGATTTCTATTTTGAAAGAAAATATACGGAAAAAATCAAGTAAAATTTCTAATTCAAATTACAACATTTGTAAACTTATGATAATTATTCTTGCATCATTGCACAATAAATGATATAATGATTCTTTATTCACTCCGGGGCACAATTTTACATAATTTGGAACTTTTGATAATTTTATTTTATCATTATTGTTATTGCTGCTTGTATCAAGTGTTTTTAATTGTATCAAGCGTTTTTAATTACGTCAAGTGGTTTTACTTACGTCATGGGCTTTCACTTTAGTCAAATCGTCAAAATGACCCTGGTGAGAAATTACCTTTAGTCAATACTTTAGTTACGTCAATGATTAAAGTCAAAAGTTTCGTCATACATCATTATCTACAAAAAAGATATAAATAAATAAATTAATTGTCGTGTGAAAAAATCTTCCTGTGGGACTTTCGATATTTATGTAAATCTTCAATTACACCATTCACTTTTGAATAAAGCGAAAAATAAATAAATTGTTTCTAACTAAAATTAATTGACTTGAAGTAATTATTTTTTTACCCTTTATAATGCCATTTGATCTTTTAGCTTTGCCGGTTAAAAGTGCTATTAATGTCGTCTTACCAACACCTAATATTTACAATCAACAGAATTCTCATAAGAGTATTTATTTACACGCACGCCTAAATAAATGTTTATTAATGACTTTAATTATTTACCTGATGGTCCCATAATTGCACAAGTTCTTCCGTGTTGTAAACTTCCGGTAATACCCTGTATATGTGTGTGAAATAATAAAGATTTTAGATTCTCTCACTCAAAAACCGACACAATCACCACCAAAAACTTCTTACACCGATAATTTCAATGCCATTTAGACCTAGATTTGTAAATTCAATATCGAATGTCTTTGATAAAGGATTCAATTTCATTCCTTGTGTCAATCTTTGATCGACTAATAATTTTGATATTTCGCCGCTTTCAAAGATTCTATTTTCTTTTGAACACGAAATACCAAAAGTATTATCATCATCGTTGCAATTAAAAATATTAACGAGCTATATTCGTTTATGCTTATTGAACCAGGTGGACAATATGAAGCTATGCCGCATGGTGTTGGATTCACTATATCAATGCCACATTGGTATCCTATATTTATCGGAGGGAAGGGAGGAATTTTAACGAAGAAATTATAGAGTTCAGAAAAGAATATCAATATTAATTGAAATACCTTCGGACAAATTGTTATAATTTTGTGTCTTTGTTACAACAATATCCTCCGCAACAATAAACAGGTTGTGTTGAATTCTCGGGACAAAAAAATCCAGACGTACATGGTAATGGAGTTTCGCTCGGGCCCAAACAAAAATAACTATAATAAACAATTTGTGTTTATTTATATAGCACATACAGTACCTGGACAAAAGGTTCGGAACACTTGCTTTTGTTAATTGCGCAAAAATATACATAATAAACATATATGACATTTATATCATTTGCGGTCCAGGTTCTTGTGAATATTTATGCAAAATTCCATGCACCAAGGTTCCGTAGAACTCGAATAAATATATAAAAATGAAATTCGATTAAAGAACTTTCTTTAAAGATCACTAAATTCCTGATGCGAAATTTTTTATTTTATTACTCAAATTCTATGTAATAATTTTAATTTAAAATTTTAACTACTTTTAATATTTAGTTGGGTATCATTTGCTCTTTATACAAGCCTGAATTCTTCTAGGCATGCTTTCAATCATTTGAGGAATTACCTCTGTTCCTGGATAAGCTTTATTTATATAAAAATTAGCATATATTCTTGGATCGAAAGCCATTTTGATATCTATTGTATTATTGTCTGCACTATTTGTTATAATAGTATTATTAGACATTATTATGTTTAAAATATCGTTATTGTTATGATTGGAAATTTTATTTGTAAAGTATTGTAACTTTATTTTTTTGATTTTTATTTTCTAGTTGTAAAAAAAAAATAGGAATTCACGATTTTTATAAGCGTCATAGTTGTCTTTGATGATTATTAAGAATAACGTTTTTTCCCTTAAATGGAATCAACGTTTTACCCACTGAATATTCATTAATTAAATTTAATTTGGTGAATATTATTATTACGCGAAACGAAAACGAGGTCTGTACTAGAAAAATCAAGCTACTAGCTGTTTTTTTTTTTTTTTGAGTTTATTTACTCTATATTAAAAAAACACGTGTAACCAAATTTATAAGGGTGGTTTACTAAAAATAGATTTTTTGTTGGTATATAGGCTTGATTTTCCTAGTACAAGCCCCATCCATTCTTTTATCGAGATTTTTTTAAATGAACGTTTAAAGTGTAATTACAATAATAATATTCCAGGTCCTGATAATCAATTGGTTAAATTTAACCTAGAAAAATCATGGCGTTGTTGGCATCGTTAGTCCGAACGCTTTGTCATTTACTTCCACGTTATTCTTAATCTTCTACATGGCACACGGTCACCCCAGTTATTGTGCATGTTCCACTGACTGACTTGATGAACATGATTGATGACATTGTTGGTTTTTTTTGGCATACTAGATAAAAGGCAAGCAAGCAAAGAGGCGAAACTATTTACCTTTTGAATAAATCAAAGAAATTATTTTAATACTAGACAAAAAGCAAGCGAGTAAAAAATATTCAAGAGGCAAATCTGCTTGTTTATTTATTTCATTATTTATTTATTCATCCCAGATTAAAAGATCAATCGGATGGATCAATTGGATCAATTGAAAAAAAATTTTTTGATGGATTTTATTTGTTTTCCACCATCCTCAAACGGTCAAGATCAAAAAAAATTTATCTGAAAGGATCATCCACTATCCTTCAAATGGTCAAAAATCAAAATGCTTATTATTATTACAAATTGAAGAAGATCACAGACCTCCTTATGTTGATGGAATTATAAAAAAAATCATGGGGAAAGAAAAAGACTATAGGCATGGCTTTTACTTTAGCTGTTTGGGAAATTTTATTAAACCCAAAACATCCAAAAATATCTGTTAGTGATAATGCTCTTCAAAGCAGATATGAAAAATATTGGGTAATTATTTTTTAATATTATTTTAATATTCTCTCACTTAACTATTCATTGAGCGTTTTCACAAATCCTGCAAACTGTTTGTGCAAATTTTTATCGATATTAATACTAATATTTGTGGGATCGGCGAAAACGCTGAATGAGAATGCTAATTAATTATTTTTGCATGATGCTTACAAGTAATTAACATATTCATTTTTTAATATATACTGTATATATATTATTTTTTATTTTTACTTTATAGGATTGTATAAATAATAACTGCAAATATTACAAAATCTATCAGACAAAAAGAACTTGGTAAAGGGTTACGTTACAGATCCAGATGATAATGAATCAGAATTTGAACACGGAATTGAAAGTTCATAATGATCTATTTAATAAACTTTATTGCTATTATTACAGTAATATAAATTTGATAAATTTGTATTATTGCAGGAAGGATCCTTAAAAATCCCTAATAGTAAATCAAGAATCTTCAGAGATATTTTTGTCAGGATTCACAGCAAATATTCGTGGGTGGTGAAGGATCCATATTAATAAAAATTTGGGGGAATCCTCTAGGATCTTTAAGCTCAAAAGTTTCCTGATGCATGTAATCATTGTGTAAGGTGAGAGGGTCTGAAAAAATTGGTGATGATATCATGTTTTATTTATGTGATACTTGAAAAAAGATCGGAATCAATGTAAATAAGTTAATCATTAGAGAAAATTTAGACATGATTTGATGATTTATTGCAACATAATGGCATATTTTCGCTTTTTGTGAATTACTTATAACCGGAAAAAAAGCACAAATTAGTTAAAGTTGCGACAGTATATTAACAATCCCTCAAATAGATAAATTGATGGAAATTGATATTATGTATAACATGAGATTTTGCCTCTAACTCTGATTTTCTTTTTAATATTTTAGTCGTTGATTCTTCTGTCTTTTTTCTGAGAGAATGATTGTTTGTGCAGAGAATAATGGTATGTAAAAAATATTATTATTAAACACTAAATATTAATAGCTAATCACACATCTAAAACTCGTAACATTACCTTCTTCCTTCTTCAGGTATGACAATTCCATCAAGATCAAGATCAATAACATTAACAATCTTGAAATATAAAGCTATCATCACCACCCATCAAATACTGCCATCAATATCGTTAATACACTTTATTGTTATTTACATTAATGTTTTGATTTCCAACATCATTCATCCATTGCATTTGCCACTATCAAATCCACATTCATATATTTAATAAGGTTCACTCGATCAATGTTGAAGCCAACAGCATACAAAATTCAATTAACTAATGTAACTTATTCTTCACCACCACCACCACCACCACCACATCATCTCCCTTTTTCTTATTCTTCAGTTGAACGGGGGGTTTAATTTATCTCTTCAGGTACCACCGCCTTTTACTTCTAGTAATTGTAACAATTGTAAAGATGACGATGACTTATCAGTTAATGGTGTAAATATTTTTTTGACATGAATAAGAATGATAGGATGATGCTAAATTCAAACCTTCTGGCGCAATGTAGATGGAGATGAATGTTGCTTGCGAAGGCAATGATTGTAATGATGTGATATAAGCATCAAAATGTTTATAATGTTGTTCCAGGACTGTTAGTCATTTTACACAATCACTCCCACCATAGATTGATTAATTCATTAATTATTTAAAAAAAGAAAGAGAAAATCAGACAACCATGTATTTAGTATATCAATTACCTTGATAACGTGAATGTTTGCAGGTATCTACCAATAAAACTTTGCAAAATTACTTCAGATTGTTGAAAGCAATTTTAATTGCCAATCTTAGTAGAAGGGTTCTCTTAACAATTTGGTTGACAAATCATAATAGATTACAACTTTATACATGTTGTGATTTGCACAAATTTTCAAAGAACCTTAATCATCCAATAGCACATTGTATGTACTTAACAGGTTGTTCTACAGCTTTGCAAATTGTAATATATTAGTCGTACTTTAATATTCTATATATAATTATCTTCTTTCAAAAAAATATATTATGATAATAATCTTATATTCTTCAATCAATCTGCTTTTAATTCACTACACGCTCATTGTATACTCGTTCAGTATTTTGTTAGGAATTCACCATCCCGCATATAAAAATTTTTATTTATAAAATTTAAAAAAACATAATAAAAAAGATCTTTTTTTTTTGCTTATAAAAAATAATAATAGTAAAACTATTGCCTATGTATAATAACAATTTTACATACATATATATATATATATATATACATATATATATATTATCCTAATAAAAAAAATTTACAAAAAAAACTAAAAAAAAATTAAAAGTATTTACAAAATATTGTTTCTTCATTATAACTAAAATCTCGATTTAAGGTTATTCTGATATAATCACATTTAGTGACTCCGAATGAAATTAATGTTGGACATAATCACTTCCAGTGTCTCCGAATGAAATTAATATCACCAATGTCGCTGACTTGACGGATTGAATAAATAATTTTTCTTTGTATATCCTTAACGGAATATGGAAAAATTAAAAGTCCGCCTCACGTGTAAAACCTATAGGTACTCCTTTCAGAATCCAGACAATATTGAAGGTGATGTTTAACATTAACTTAATAACCGGATCATGAAAGTAATCTCATTAGGTTTTTGTGAACGACAGGGTTTTTTCTGATATAACCACATATATACACTGACTGCACTTTCCACTATCTAATTCATGGAAAGTAAACTAAATTCTTTTTTTTGGTAAGTATAATTTTAATAATACATACATACATATAAATATATATATATATATTTTTAATTCTGGCAATAGATTTAAAACTTGTTCTTTAGGTCGACAAAAGAAAGGACAAACAACTCGCTTTCAACCTATTAGTTTTTTAAATAAAGAAAATTTTCAAATTAGGAATTTCAAAAAAACCTATTTGAGAAAAAAAGAATCTGAAAAAAAACCTTACATTTTATATTGATTAAATAGCCTAAATACCAAGTTGTTTTTTTTTGTTTTTTGTTTTTTGTTACATTATTTATATATTATATTTATAAAGCAAAAAAAAAAATACTAAAAAAAATAAAAAAAATAAAATATTCAAATTAATTTGTTAATTATTAATTCAAGCAAACAAACGAAATATATATATAATAAAAACTTACATGATTCTTATAATAATGTCAAAGGACTTTTTTTTTAACTTTATCCAAAAATTATCTTATATATAAAAATCATAATAATAATTCTGCAACGTATATTATATAGTCTTAGATATTATTTAAATAATGACATAATGACATAGGTTTTTATAAAAAGGCATAATAAGAAAGAAGAGCATGTTATGTTTGTAAATTGATAATAATGTGAAAAAATAAATTTGAAATGGTTGTTGTATTATTGATGTATTCTCATTTGCAACGAACTTTTTTTCTTTGTTCGCTCTGGTTGCTGGTTGTTCTTTCTTCATTTGTTATAATAATTATCATTATTATCATTGCTTTTTGTCATTATACATTGTTGTTTCATTGTCATTGTTGCAGTCTTTTTCAAAAATAACTTTTGAAAAAATCAAAAACATAAACCCTTTTGTTCTAAATTAAAAAGGATTTTTAACTATTTTTGGGCAGAGAGAAAAAAAAAGCCAAATGTTTTTTTTTGAACCATTGAGACTTTTTATCTTTGCGCTTGTAACCCCTGATTTTGATCATGAGAACATTTTGAATGAGAGATAAGGTCGTAGATTTTCCGGGTATTAGATTATCTCATCTAAAAAAAATTCGTAATGATGTTTAATTGTTACGTACGCCAAAAAG